GATTCAAGGCGAACCCTTTCCACGGTCCGCAGGAGACCGCGTCTCCTCTTCGGTTTGGGACTTTACCTTTTTCTTTTGGTGTGTTAGTGCTTAGCACCATGACAATTCTGGTTTTCAGCTTCGTACGTCAGTGTATACAGAACGCAAAGAAAATACTTTTGCTGTGCCTTTGTGCTTGCAGGCCTTTTAGCAGTGCTTGGGAATTTCAGAATTATTCACACCGTCATTGCTTGGAATTGATCAAATCAGGTGCTTCTTTTTTAGTCATTCAATCAGTAAAGAAGGCTGAGTTAGTTCATCAGCTGAACAGACAACCCAGATAAGGCAGGTTTGGGAAAGAATTTTTATTGTTCCAAAGATTTAGTAGTCAGACATTATAGACTTGAGTAAATTCTAATTGTGTTTCTAACTCTACATTTAATAAATGGACCATGGAGAAGGGAAAAAAAAAAAAAGGCTGTGAGCTGTGGGAAGAAAAACAGGAAATGAGACCATGAATCAAATCTGGTCTTGGAGATGACAGTCGGGCTGGCTACAAATTCTGCAGCTCACTTGTACTGATGTGAACCACACCAGTCAGATAAAAGTATATCAACATAAATAATCACATATTAATATGACATAATATTAATATATTACACTTTGAAGTCCGTATGTAAATCTGGGGGTCCTGAACTGCATGATACACATTAAATAAATAAGCTTTGCAACAGCTTCCTCTGGCTAGTGCTGCAAGGGGCGGAATCCAGGCTGCCCTCTGTGGAAAGTGCAGGGATCTCTGGGGTGTTATATGTCGTCATAATCCAACATACTGTGCAGAGTAGCCAACAGAGAAATAAAGACTAATAAAGTATCCCAGGTACTCTAGAACTGATCTCGAGGAAGCGGTGGTGGTCTGCAGATAGCACCCATCACATGGAGCTGTCTCAGACACCAACTAAAAATCCAGCCTCATTCCTGCAATGAATATGATGAGTTAAACTCACTTTTTTTTCTTCCCCTCCGAAAAAGAAGAATAATTCATCATTATTCATTGATCAGGTTGTTAACCTTGACGACTCGGGAAACCAAACCATGCAGATATGACTCTCCCTGTGATATCAGCTGGTAACTGTTGCTGACAGGATGCTACTGAGTATGTGGCAAAATTCAGGCATGCTCTTGGCTTGAAATAACGAGAATAAACACAAACTGTGAAAAGCGAAACAATGATTGAAGCATCGATTCCAAGATAAGCCATGAACCTTCAGCTTCTGCAGGAGCTGAATTGGGATTGAAAGGGAAGATATTCAGCCCTATATATAACCAGGCCTTCAAATATGTTTGCAAAGCTCATTTAGAGGAATTTGACGGCTTAGCTTAATTTGCCCTGCAGTTATAACAGGTACTGAAGCTTGTGCCAATAGCACCAACAGAAGCACGATTTGGCACACCAGGAATGTACTGAAGATACATTGTTTACTCATGAAAACTCAGGGCAGAAGGCACTGCGGACTGTTACATCCAACAGGAAAGAGTAATTTCCAGATTTTGAGAACTTTCAGACCTTGCTATAATGGTCATTGCTGATAAGGAGGAACCTAGGTACTATCAAAGTCCTTCCATGCTGAACATTTCTAAGGAATAGATGACCATCAAGGGATAACCAGATAAAGTCGTATGGTACAACATGCTCACCGTGGCAGTGACCGAGCAAGATGATCCTCCGCAGAATAAAAACTCACAGCAGGTGTGCAATGAGCCTTTATATGTCACCTCACCTATCAAGTGTTTTCATGGCATTTTTTAAGTCTTGAGACAAGAGTCTGAAATTTAATAGTAACTTGTTCCTGGGCTCATTGGGATTTATTTGTTTGTGAATGTCTGGCAATGCTGTCCTTCACTACTCTTTGGCTATACTTTATAGTGAACAATTTGAGTATTAAGTGGTACAAGAAATATTTCTACCACAGAGGAATATGTCTGGTCAAGGACAAACAAGATTGGACAACAGCATTGCTTTTTAACAAAGGATCAAGCATTTATAATCTGGCCATAAAAAATGTGCGGGGTATATGGAAAAGCACACAGCACCACAAGAAGTGAATGTTTTTAACCTAATAAGATACTGCTTGTTTTTCAGATACACAATGAAATACCTGAAGTTTACCAGTTTGAGATGGATTTTCTGCTTACGCAAGTCAGAAATGGGTTCAGATCAAACAAGAATCAGAAGCAGTTAATAGGTTTGTATTGATTGCTACATTTTTATTTGTCATTCTGCTCTTGCATTATCTTTTTTCTTGGTAGAAATGTACTCACTAGTAACCACTGAAGAGAGCTGATACAGAAGACCAATGTCCCACTGCTTTGGCACTGAATGACCTTGGGCATGTCACTTCATCTTCTGTATCTTTGAAGAGTTTTACTCTGGCTGGAGTGGGACGCGGGTATTGGACGTAACACACATATCAAAAGCACCTGGCTTGGCTGCCCAGAACTCCTGTAGGCTGATTAACACTACTGAGTAGTAACAAATTATTCTATGCTGCATCTGTTTTGATGTTTTGATTACTGCTGCTGCCTGCACTAGTTAGTTTAAACTAGGTTGGGTTTTTCTATGCTACATACATAGCAGTCAACCCTACTGATAGACACTACTCTTAAAATAAGCGTATTAGTTACGAGAACGTACAAATTGTTGGAAGTTATACACAGAACAACTTATTTTTCTATTTGCGAATTGCTTGTGAGAGTTGTGAACTAGACATGAGTTATTTGCCAGTTGTTAATGAATGATTTTTGGACTGCAAATTTGTTGTAGCCATTTCTAACATTAATTTCTAATATTTTTTTCATCTAGCAATGTCCTTGAAAGAGCTCTCAAATAGGTTTGACAGTCCACAGAGAAAAGCTTCTGACATATAGATAGCTCTGGCCTGCAACAGACAGTCTTTCATTTCCACCTATTATAGGGAAGCCATAAATTCTGGAGTACCTCAGTCCTGCTCTTTCTACAGTGAGTGAACCTTACAGACACATCAAAATGACCCAAAGCAATTTTGAGATGTAGTTCTGCCCATTTGTTCTTTTTCCCCCTCCTGAAATCTATGCATATGTTACAGTGTTCTGTAATTTCAAGTCATACAAAACAATCATAAAAACCCCTGGTAAAAAATAGCTGTTGTTAAAACCTTAATTCCTAAATATAAATATTTCTGTTCAGCAAGACAAGAGTATTTTCTCAGAACTCTCCCAAAAGAGGACAAATATATTAGAAGAGCTGCTTCTGGTTGGGAGATGGGCATTTCCACAACAGTTACATCACTAACTAACTGAATAAATAAAATTTGACCCCCTAAAAACATTGCCAGTGCATAAAAAAAGAAAATTCAATACCCTCAGTTTGTTGGCGCTCACGTAATATCAAGACAGATAGAGGCACAGTCCATTTATTCCCTTAAAAACATACAGTTACCAGGATGTTGAATCCTGAATAGTGCCCCCTCATATAAACTGGTTTAACATCTATAAAAACAGGCATAAACATCACGTCACATATCTCAAGAGAACAGCTCATATGTCCTTGATATATTTTCAAGCAATTTTTATTTGGTAGTAAAGTGGCTATCAGCCAATGCTTCAGCAATATCTTAAGCCCCAAGGAAGGCACATACTGCTGAAATGTTGGCTGATAGACACTTTACATCCAAATAAAAATTGCTTGAAAATATATCAAGGACATGCGAGCAGTTCTGTTGATGCAACCAACACGATGTTTGCATCGATTCAGAGAAATGAAATGCGTCAGTTGACACAGGCTGCAATAATCCATTTTGATCATTGTGTAAACACTTTGGGACAAATTTCTTGCAAGGGGAGTGGAGGGCTTCAGTGTCACTTTGGTAAGTATAGGCTACCCTTCCCCGAGCCAAGCAGATGAAGGGCTCGGAAGGGGGAAACAGAAAAGATACATTTTCCCAAATATCACGGTTGTTATTATTTATATGTTGCCAATGTCAAGAAGAGCCAGCAGAAGGGTGGGGACTTCATTAGGTAAAACAAGTGAAGAGGCCAGATGGTAGGAGAGACAAAACAATGTGTACTCTCATATTCCAGCTTCGTAAAGGTACTTCTTGCCTCGTACTTAGGATAAGGAAATTCAAGGGTGTCTGACACCATTGGCATTCAGAATGCAATACTTTTCCTGCTATTGTACACTAAAGAGCACCTTTTTCTCCTTTCAGACGTCTTCCCAGCACGGACCTCTGCAATTCTGGCCATCAAGATAGGCCATGGGATCTACAGGGGGGGATTTTAGTCACAGAACAGCCAGATCCAGATGCAGTTTATATTGTAGGCTGAAAAGAAAATGTGTTATGCGTTATTAACATTATTCATCTTTTGGAAAGAAAATTACATGCCCAAAGGGGCTACGCTAATGGTAATTTTATGCTGTTATGATGTGGAAAATGGGATGAGGCACCAGCTCAGGCCTAGAGCTCCGGCAGAAGTCTGGGGCTCTCACCCCACACAGCCGCCATTAGCGAGGCCTCGCTGAGGGAGGACAGGAGCACGTCGCCCCTCAGCCCCAGCGGGACAAGCAGAGATGGCGGGAAGGGGGCCGAAAGCCCCTTCAGAGCGAGGCCCTACCCCGGGAGAGCCGTGAGCGACCGACAGTTCCCCGCGCTCAGCGCGGCCCCGCAGCCCCGTCACGGCGAGAACTACACTACCCAGCGGGCACTGCGCGGGAGCACGGCTCCCGCCCTCCCCGCCTCCTGGCGCTAAGCATCATGGGACTTGTAGTCTTTACCCCCCCCCCGAAGTTTAAACCGAAAAAGTTTCCTCACCCTTTCCGGCTACCTCGCCGCTCTTCAGCGGGCGCGGGGAGGGGGTGTGCGCGGTTTCCATGGCTACGGCCCCGCAGCCAATAGGGAGCCGGGTTCTCCGCGCGGGGGGCGGGGTAGGGCGAGCGGCGGGCCAATGAGGGGCGGCCTTGTTGCGGGGCGCGCTGGCAGCGGCGGAGGGCGAGTCTCCTTGGGGCCCGTCCCTTGGTCGGCGGGCCTGGTGTGCGCCGGGCGAAGATGGGCGGCGGCGGGAGCAGCACCCGGCGCGTCACCTTCGAGGCAGACGAGAATGAGAACATCACGGTGGTGAAGGGCGTGCGGGTGAGAGCGGGGCTCCCCCCGCGGCTGGGCTTCGCTTCTCGCCGGTAGCCAGCGGGACACTCGCGGCCTGGCTCACCCTGGGCTGCCCACCCCCCCC